TGAAATTAAGATAAAATGTAGACCTTATTAGGGGCAATAAATCCACGTATTATTTTTTTAGATTTTAAAATACAGGGGGCGCTGGGGACAATTTAATTTAAAATTTTACCATTTTTTAAGGGTTAAAAAGTCGAAGAAGCAACGTTGATTTATAATTTTGAGTATATCACGTTAAAGTACTGATAATTAAATATTATTTGATATATAAACTTCTACATGCAAATTATGTATACAGATATATCTACGAGAGACACCATTTTTAAGTTAGGCCTTCAAGGAGTATAATACTAACGTGTTTTAAAAATTATGTATTCTTTTATCTAGTTTTATAAGATAATGTATTATATATTACATATTAAACATTATATATTACATATAATATATTATATATAACATACAATTCTTACATATTTATTTAAAAAATCGCCATAGATAGCTAAAATTAGTTTCATTTATAAATTTTAAATTTTTTCAAGTTTACCAATTTTGATCATAGTATGCATCATAGACTTTTCTCTATGGTACCATTGCTATGCTACCATTGAAAGCATGAAAGATAATTTGACAGTTCAGTTTATAAATTGCAAATGACTGATTGCGTTTCAATTTATAAGTGTACTATAAACTCAAAACATTAATTTATTAAAATTAATAAACTAAATAATAATTATAGACAGTGTCAGCAAGTTAGAAATTATAACCTACTTTAATTTTATTTTTTGCTCCACAACCAAGCTTCAATTTATTTTTACTCGATAAGCAAGCTTCAATTTGAATTCCAAACTGAGGAAAGTAATATTTACCCAACAAATAAATTAGAATAAAGACTTAAAGATTTTTTATGTTGCAATCGGGTATTTAGATATATATATTTTTTTTATTCAGTTGTTTTTCGATTTTTTGTAATTAGTTATTTTTTCTTTTTTTATATTTAATATAATGCTATACAGGGTGTTTCTGGAGAAACGCAAACTATATGGATTTGAAATTTTAATAGCATATACAATTTGATTTAGACTATACCTAAAGTCAATAGTTTTTAAGATATTAATTTTTTTCGTTAAAATTTTGCTAAATGCAAGTTAATCAAAAATAGCCTCTAATTTTTTTGTTATTATGTTTGCTGACATGGGGTTGGAATTTTTGGAATATTAAAATATTGTTTAAATAATTTAATTATTTAAAGGTTTTTCAACAAATACCTTGAGAAAAACCACTTGAAATTAGGCAAACTTCAAACAATAATAACTTTTTTATTATAAATGTAAAACCCTGTATGTTTTAACATAATCAAATAGAACATTAAATAATCTTTTGATTGGTATTATCTATAATAACTGTTTCCCAAAGTTAAAATTTCAAAAACATTTAACGATTTCTAATATTTTCAATACTATTTTGTATAAAAAAACCTGTGAAATTCTACATGTGGTTTAATGTGACAGTATCCACCAAATCATTGTTTAAAATTAATTAAAATATTTGATTACAAAATTAATAACTCAAAAAATATTGCCTTTAGGTACAGGATATGGTATAGCCATTTTATGTAATTTTATGTAGAATTAAAAAATGTAAAAATATATGAGGCATCATGTATGTTTAAAATAACAAAGTTAAAGACATTTCCGGTAAAACAGGAAGTATTATTTTGTTCAAAATAATTTAGGAAAAAAGTCTAAAGCGAATAATTTACGCTATTAAAATTTTAAATCGATGTTTTCGCGATTCCCTAGAAACTTCTAACGGACTACGTACGTGAAACACCCTGTATATTAAACGTCATTTATGTGTGATGCTATACTTAATTATGAATAAAAGATACAACAATATTTGTATAAAAATGACAAAATGTACTAAAAAACTAAACATTTATGAATAATGCTAATTCAAAACTGATCCTGGCCACAAAAACATCACTTGCATAAAAAAGTTAATATATCAAATAATAGTCAAATATCAATACTTCTACGTGTTATACTCAAATTTATAAAACAAAGTTGCTTCTTTGATTATTTACTCTTTAAACGATTTTAAACTAAATTATCACCAGAGCCCCCTGTACGTTAAAATCTAAACAACATTTTTTCAAGGAATAATTGTCATTAGTAAGATCTACATTTTGTCCAAACTTCAAATCTGTTTTAAAATAAAAAAGTTATTTAAAAAAAATAAATTTTCTTCATTTTTAACACACTAAAGAAAAAAATAAAAATAAAAACAAAGTTGTCAATGGACGAGATTTTTTTTTGAAAAAAGTACTGCATTTAGATGTAGAAATAAGGTAAAAAAGTTTCAATCGATTTCTTGAACTCTTGCAAATCGACCGTTCGATCCTTTCGCGAAACCGTAATTAAAATTTAGATAAATAAACTGGTAAAAAAAAGATTCTAGCAATTTTAACCTTGCAAATGTTGACCACATTTATTGCTTTGTATTTTTTAATTACAGTTTTTTTTCTCACAAAGTTCTTTTTCACACAGAACGTGTAACCGATACCTGTCGGTTGCGGCTGGCAAAAGAGCAGAGCAGCAGCATTTGATGCTTACAAAGTGATCGCTTAAAATTAATCCGCCGGCCTTTTTCATCCCCCTAATAAACGTAATCTATACGTAAATATTACCGGCAACAGTAGTATACTCTGTAACAAAACAGTTGCCCCGACAATTACTTACGTAATCTGAAACCACGCAACAGAGGGCAAAAGAAGCCGCCAATTGTTGTACAAAAGGGCCCGAAACGAGGCTCGTGCCTTCTTGCGCAAGCTCTATGCTTTGTGGAGCTGAAGCCGACTCTGTTTTGAGGAAGACGTTGTTTGTTGGTTACCGGGAATGGAATAATATATTAATCTTGCCACAATTGGCCTGAAGAGACTTTTATTTGGATTAAGCATAATGGAGACTGTCCACGGTAACTCATCCTATTGTGTAGGTGGTTTAAGACTGGTGAATTATGTAGGTTTTATGAATAAAATGTATGCATTTGTATTTCTAAAGAGGAAGTGTTATTTTCTATATAAAATGAAACGAAAATAAATTAAAAAAAAAACAAAAAAAGAAAAATTCCCTGAAATATTTTGAAAATTCAATTGTATTATTAGACCAGTAACTAAACATGTGTATGTTGAACATACCTTATTTAAAGGGTTCAAGTTTATTTAGTTTTAAGTCTATAATTAATATTACCACATATAACCACTAAAAAAATATTTTATTTTGATAAAAGGCAATATATTTTCCCACTTTATTTACCTAATCCATAATATCTCATTCATCTTTTATACTCCAATAGACCTTTTGTTACGTTATGAAAAGTATCAATTTTGAGAAGATTTGCAAGCAAAAATTTCCTGTGGGAGTAAAATTTCAAATTTCTTATATTTCTCAATGAAAAAGATGTTCACTTTAAAAAAGGTGTCATATTTCAAAATTGCTTTTCATTTATTTCTCAAAAAGAGTGTTTGCTGAGTCAAAACCTATTTTACTTCATTTTTTTTACAAATACAATAAAAAAAGCTATCATTTATACACAATTAACATAATTCAAGAGCATAATTAATACTGATTTGTTTCCCATAAGATACTAGTGTTTTACAATAATAAATAAATAATAATTATAATTTTATATAAAAATTATCTTAATAATAAAACAAAATACGTACTAATTTACTATTTATTTATTTTTCTACCTTTAAAACGTACCTTCCACCTTTAAAACGTACATGTTTCCATGACACTAAGTGACCTTTTAAATACACATTGGAAAGTTGTGGCTTTATGGCGTTTTAGTCACGGGCTGAAGTTAGTTTTAAGTTAGTTATAACTGACAACTGTTATAACAGTTGTCAAATGTCATACAATCGTTAAAATAAAGTGTAAAGTAGTAATGTGGATTTTTTTTATTATCTTGATATTTAAAAAGTTTATATGTATAAGTTTGCACTGACCTTTTGATTTTTCCGGCAGTAAACTAGATTTAACTGATAGCTTTAAAAATTTCGGGTGGAGACTCCACCTTGAAGTGCCCATAAACATTCTCCTCAATTTCACTGTGAAAAACTGCTTCTATATCGGATTTAAACGGTTGTTAGTTCATTTTCAAGGGGTAAATTTCTATTTAAATATACAAATTTGACATTTTGACTGGCATGCCGGTAATATAGATTCCCAAGTTAGAAATTGTTACGCGAATTTAAGCTATTTTTTTATAGATGCCCACATACAAATATAGATACAAAATAATAAGTATCTATTTGTCTTAAAAAAGTATTGTATGAACTCGTTTATAAATTTTTATGGACACTAATTTAATAAAACACTCGCTCGCAAACTCGCTCGTGCCTAAAAGGGCGTTTATAAAACTTGATACATAATAATATTATTTATACTATAAGATTTACATTTACATATGGGTAAAAATTTCTCAAGTGAGCCACCCAAAAACCTTCAAGTCAAATTTTTCGTTCAAAATATATTTGCCAAAGAATTCGTTTGAAATTTTTTATCTCGGATTTTTTTTTTTAAATTAATATCTTCCAAAGTAATGCGTTGATTTTGAAAATTGAAGCACCAAGAGAGTTTTAAGATTTTATGTGGGATAAACAAAAAAAAATGCACATATAACTATTGTGCTTTTTAAGGTACTATAACTCCATGTAAAAAGGGGTAAGTTTAAAGTTAAATATTAAAATCCAGATAGTAATTTTTTTAAATGTTGTTGTCATGTGATAGCATACATACCATATTTCTAGTTACATCATATAAACATTTTAGTGACTAAAATGTTTATATGATGTAACTAGAAATATCGTATGTATGCTATCACATGACAACAACATTAAAAAAAAAATTACCATCTGGATTTTAATATTTAACTTTAAACTTACCCCTTTTTACATGGAGTTATAGTACCTTAAAAAGCACAATAGTTATATGTGCATTTTTTTTTGTTTATCCTACATAAAATCTTAAAACTCTCTTTATTGCCTACAGATGGAAAACATGGGATATTCTCCTACAGATGACGTGTTCATTTTTCAACCCGAAAACAAAGACGTTTCTGAAGAAATTCCAGCACTGCTGAACGAACCAGACATACCCTTGATGCCTAATAAAGAGCAGTCAAATGCCTCATCCCCTGCGACTTCTTTTGATGATGACTTGAATGATAAAGACTACCAACTTGACGAGAAAAGCAATTCTAATAGTTCGAATCCTGAAAGCGAAGTCGATGAAGACGATCTCGATGTTGTCAACCAGGGAAAAATTACAATTTTGCAAGATATCCAAATTAACAAACCAAATGTACCACGCACTACTAAGTCCATATCAAGCCGTCTCAAGGATCAGATACTTGCAAAAACTCGTCAAGTAATGTGCATATTTGGCGAGGAAAATACTGTTTCAAAAAATTTTGTGCGTCATCTTACGCGGCGGCACTCCAGCGAAAAAGAGGTTGGCAACATTTTGCGTCAGCCCCTGAATAGCAAAGCTAGAAAAGCAGCTTTGGCTAGTTTGCGAAAAGAAACGACATTTGAACTATTTTTGGACGGAACTACGGTGCCGGCGCGCCGGTTCATTACTGGTTGCTCTGAAAAAAGTAATGACACTGATTATTATCCCTGTACGGGATGCAAAGGTCTGTATAAAAAAAGTTATTTGAGGAGGCATGTAAAACTGTGCACAGAAGTAACAAGCAGAGACAAAGTTTCCAGTGCTGTTTCCAAATCTCAAACTTTCGCCGCTTGCCAGCTTGATCAAACAAATACCACCGTCCGGTTAGAGGTAAAAGACAAAGTTTTTGATTTGATGAGAGGTGATAATATTGCATTCGTAGCAAAAAAAGATTTATTAACAACATACTTTGGAAACTCTTACCTTAAAAAGCACAGAAAAGAAAAAAGCGCATATACATGCAGCAACAAAATGCGGGAATTTGCAAGGCTCCTAATTGAATGCCGAGTACTTTTAAACAATCCAAACTTTGATATGCAAACTCTTCTTCATCCGAGTCATTTTGATGCTATTGTGATGGCTGCAAGAAAGTTGGCCGGTTATGATCCAGCAAAAAAATCATTCAATGCTCCTAGCTTGGCGTTACATTATGGGGGAAATCTGAAAACCTTGTGTGATGAGCTGTATCATTTGGCACTAAAACAAACTAAAGGATTTAACCGGGAAACGGAGACTGAGAGGACGGCTTTTCTGAAGGACGTCAAGAAAATCAATCAGCTTGTAAGCACACGCTGGAACATTAAAATGGCATCCCTTGCGAACAAGGATTTACAAGAGAAAAAATGGAGTAAACCTCTTTTGGTTCCTCTAGTTTCAGATGTCAAAATTTTTAGAGAACAGACCTACAGGATTGCCAGGGAATGTGTTAAAGCGTTTCTAAATGATAAAGATATTGAAAATGACTATAAAACACTTGTAGAGTGTGTTCTCGCCTTACTGATCATATTCAACCGACGAAGAATAGGTGATGTTCAATACATGAAAATCTCGCACTACAACAACGGGCACAGGAGTAATTTTAAAGATTTTGAAAATGCCCTATCGGCTACAGAGAAAGTTTTAGCGATTCGCTATAAAAGGGTACTAAATAGTGGGAAAGGTTCCCGAGCAGTGGTAGTCTTACCGGAGGACATTGATGAATTCATAAAAATGTTATTGAAACGCCGTCATAAATATTTTTCAGAAGAAAACGACTACCTGTTTTCCATTCCAGGACGAAAAGTAAAATGGGGAAAAGGAGACTTAGCAATTCGGAACCTCACAAAACGGATGACGTTGGAAAATCCTGATGCCATGACAAGTAACAAGCTGAGGAAGCAAATTGCTACGGTTATGCAGATACTAAGTCTATCAAAAGGCAATATTAAACAATTTTCTAATTTTATGGGCCATACCGTCAAAACCCACGAGGAATTTTATGAGTAAATTTGTCAAACAGTTTTTATTTGATTTTTTTTATTTATTTAAAGGCTTCCTGTGGATGTGTACCAGACGGCAAAGGTATCTAAAATGTTATTAATGATAGAGAGTGGAGTACCTGTAGAACACAAAGGAAAATCATTGTCGGAAATCGACATTGATTTTAAATTTGCGGAAGAAAATGATTTTGTTGAGCTGCAAAACCAGATAAAAGATGTAAAATACAAGGAAAGGGCTCCAATCAACGTGAAAATGCTCATGAATGAAGACCAGTGCAAACCACAGAAAGCATCAGTTGATTTGGTCGAGAAAAGAGCAACAAGAAACAAAAATTATATTGATCACGGCAAGAACAAAATGAAATCGTTTATTAGTTGTTTATTGTTTAATATTTTTAGCTTATAGTGATGACATGATTCTGCAGAAAGAAAATAAGGAAGAAATAAAAAATATATCTAAAAAGAATATAAAAAAACATCAAACTGAAGATGATGAAGTGGATATGGAAGTAGACAGTGATGAGGAAAATAACAAGCACGCGAAGAGAAAAGTGACCGGAGGTGAACAGAATAGAAAAGGTAAGAATCAACAGGTTTAATTTTTTCGTGTAAGAACTTGTACCTACTAACAACAATTATTCCCCTAGCAATATAAAACCATAATAATAAGTTGTCGTCGCTTTTAGCTTGGTCTTCATCAGAGGTGTCCCTCTTAAAAAAAGCTTTTTCCAAGTATACAGCAAAAAATGTATACCCCTCGATGCAGGAAATACAAAAGTTCTTATCTAATAACAGTATTTCAAGGAAGCCCGTGACAGTAAAATCAAAACTTCAACACCTAATGAAGCTAAGAAAATCCCAGAAATAGCTGAGGCTGGCAATCATTGGCAATATTTTTTTAAATAGCTATATGGTATATGGTATATATTAGCATTTGTCCAGTTTAAAATTAAAGTGTTTTTTTAAGTATTTTGTGTATTTGTTGTGTCATCCCTATGACGCTAAGAATGGTCAAAATTGACACCCCAGAATTTGACGATTTGATGACCAGTGTGACAAATTATCGAACCTACATAGTTTTACAGAAATAAATAAAAGAAAGCATATTAATTATATTACTATTTATAAAAATAGAGGACAAAGAACAAGAAATAAAACTTTAGGTACATACATCGGATGTATGTTCCTACATGTAAAGTGTTTAATTTATTTATTACATCCATAATTATGGATAACTAGGGTTGCCAGGCGCCCGGACATGTTTAGCTTTTTAAGGTCGTGTCTGGTACAATATTTAGGGTCCGGCTTTTTTTTTAGTCATAAATGGTTAATTTTATAACAAAACTATAATTTATGTGTTTCTAATAAATTAATATTAAATATGAAACCGATATTTTTTTATTATAAAAGTGTCCAGCTTTAAAGACATATGTAAAAAAGGGTATTTTCGAATATTAAAAAAGTATGTCCGCCTTTTAGGGCAAAATGTCCGGCCTAGTATAGCGCCGAGTCCGGCTTTTGTATTTTATGGCCTGGCAACCCTACCCGTAAGAAAAGTCAATATTCAAATTCTACAAATCAAACGATATTATCGTTAATTATTTTGAATTTTTACAATTTCAATAAATATTTAAATGGGTGACAAGCAAAACAATTCAAGTAATATTTTTAATAATAGGACAAAAAATATTGTAAAATTACATGATTACTGACGGGACAAACAAAAACAAGACAAAATGTTTTATGAAAATTTTTAAAGGTGTGTTGTTCATATAATAATAGTTATTATTACTTAATTTCATTGCTGAGGACTGGCATAAAATTATTATTATAGGAACAACACATCTTCAAAAACTTTCATAAAACATTTTGTTTTTTTTGCTTGTCCCATCAAGTAATCATGGAATCGCCCAATTGTTCTTCCAAATTTATTTTTATTTACAATCATTTTACATTTTAATTAAAAAAGAACGGAAAATTGGGATTGTACATATATAAAAATAAATTTGATATTACAATAATAATATTTTTGTCCTTTATTATTAAAAATGTTACTTAAAATGGTTTGCCTCTTTAGACCAGGGTCGATAATTTTTGAAACCAAAAAAAATAACAGTAGGATGAAACCCATTGGAAAAGGAGAAGAATATAATAAAAATGAAAGGAAAAATAAATTACGGGCGATCTGACTTCGGGAAGTGGGAGGGGGGGGGGTTTAAGGGTAAAAAATGGTTTATCTCGATTTCCGGCAAAACTACAAGTCCTATGGAAAAAAGTTAAATGGCAAAGTTGTAGGTAATAAAACGATCTACAACTTTTGTAATTACAATTTTTTTACATAACCTCAAAATTTATGTGAAAAATTCAAAAAACCAAGTTTTTGGTTTTTTATTTTTATCTTTTTCAAAAAAAAAAATTTTTCCACGAAATTTGGTAAAAACTTACCTTTTTATGTCCCAAATACACTGTAATTTATTTGATTTGAAATATTTATTATTTCGCCTTATTTTGACTTAATATCAAAAAAGCACCCTAATTTTCAATCGAAAATTCTCGCGTCAAAATATCAGCTTTTTTCAAAAAGTCGGTGTGCTTTTTGTTCGTTGAAATCTCTACTTTCTGATGGTGTAAAAAAAATATACATTACTATGGTAAATGTTCTCAGAAAATGCAAAAAATATTATAATGAATAACGAAAAAAACTCGAATTCGAAAATTTATTTTAATCATTATGTACAATTTCATCAAAAAAATGTGATTTTTTTTAGTTAAAAAGTTTATTTATTAAATTCTAATAACATTTATGTCAGAAAATCTCATAAAATATAAAAATACATGTAAATCATACTATTGAATTTAGATACTTCATTCTGATTACGTTATTCATTATAATATTTTTTGTATTTTTTGAGAACATTTACCATAGTAATGTATATTTTTTTTTACACCATCAGAAAGTAGAGAGTTCATCGAACAAAAAGCACACCGACTTTTTGAAAAAAGCTGATATTTTGACGCGAGAATTTTTGATTGAAAATTAGGGTGCTTTTTTGATATTAAGTCAAAATAAGGCGAAATATTAAATATTTCAAATCAAATAAATTACAGTGTATTTGGGACATAAAAAGGAAAGTTTTTACCAAATTTCGTGGAAAAAATTTTTTTTTTGAAAAAGATAAAAATAAAAAACCAAAAACTTGGTTTTTTTGAATTTTTCACATAAATTTTGAGGTTATGTGAAAAAATTGTAAAAACAAAAGTTGTAGATCTTTTTATTACCTACAACTTTGACATTTAACTTTTTTCCATAGGACTTGTAGTTTTGCCGGAAATCGAGATAAACCATTTTTTACCCTTAAACCCCCCCCCTCCCACTTCCCGAACTCAGATCGCCCGTAATTTATTTTGCCTTTAATTTTTATTATATTCCCCTCCTTTTCCAATGGGTTTCATCCTACTGTTATTTTTTTTCTCTTTTTACCATTTTTAAAGGCTTCTGCACTGGTCTATTACAATTATTTAAAATACAAAAATTTATGTTGTAAAAAATGATATAACCAGAAACTGAAAATCGTTAAAATTTTATATTTTTTGGATTTATAATGTACAATAATATTATTAAAATTATACATTAATATTTTATAATAATATTAGTACCTATAATATAATATTATATTAAATTTCCATGAGTTTCAGTCCAAGCTGCAGCAACAATTAAAAATGCAGCCGCCAAAAATCGTGAAGAATACAGAAATGGTATAGATATTGGTAATATTCTTCAGGGACTGAGCGGCAACACTGCCGGAGGTGATAAGACTCATATATTTCCGGAGGTATCAACGTCCATTTTTTATAAAATAAAAGAAATCGCTTCCCCTCGTTAGAAACCTTTCTTACTGATTGTTTGCCTACACCAAATATGCACTTAGTTGCTTCATTTTACCAGTAGAAGCGGTGGAGGCGAGAGCGCCCGCGAGTGTATATATACCTCCTATAGGAGGTCGTAGCGTACAAAATGTACCTATATATACAGGGTGTTTCATAATATATGCGCAGGACTTCAGGATGTGATAGCTCAACCAAAAAGATGAAAAAAGTCGCTATTAACTTACCCTCTAAAATGCACAATTTTCGAGATACAGGGTGTTGAAATTTTAGAAAAAAAATCGTTTTTTTCGATTATCTCTGGAACCGTTTATCGTACAAAAAACAGCTTTTGTAAGCATTTTCTACTCATAATAATCTATGTTTTGTGCCAGAAAATTTTTTTTTTTACTCATAATTGGTGGAGATTTTGAAGGGGTAGCGGGTGTTTTTCTCCTCAACTTCTACGCCCCTGAAAAAAGTACGGTTTCGAGAGGCCCATTCGAACCGCCAATGTTTTCTACACAAAAAAGGTACTCCTGGTCATAAGCTCTAAAGTTGACCGTTTTCGATAAAAATCAACTTTTATGTTTAAAAACATGGTCAATTTTTTGAAAAAATTTTTTTATTACTAATTAAACAAAATTTATTTTAACGTTAGAAAAAGTAACAAAACCAAACGATAATTGCAAAATTAAAAAAAAAAATAAAAAATGATTTTTTACACAAATGCTGAAATTTGCGAAATGCGTTACCTTTACGGTTTGGAGAATTTAGCAAAGACAACTTTTGAATCATTTTTTATTTTGCAATTATGGTTTGGTTTTGTTACTTGTTCTAATGTTAAAATAAATTTTGTTTAATTAGTAAAAAAAAATATTTTTTTTTAAATTGACCATGTTTTTAAACATAAAAGTTGATTTTTCTTGAAAACGGTCCAGTTTAGAGCTTATGACCAAGAGTACCTTTTTTGTGTAGAAAACATTGGCGGTTCGAATGGGCCTCTCAAAACCGTACTTTTTTCAGGGGCGTAGAAGTTAAGGAGAAAAACACCCGCTACCCCTTCAAAATCTCCACCAATTAGGAGGAAAAAAAATTTTTTTCTGGCACAAAACATAGCTTATTTTGAGTAGAAAATGCTTA